CTCAAATAGTTCCAAATTGATAAAAAACAATTCTCTGAAAGTTTTAGCTCTTAATATTAACTTTTAGATAGTGCGCAATTCAAACAAACTTTGTATGGAAATAGCATGGACAAAATTTTGAAAATTAAAAAAAAAATTTTTTTAGGTATAATTTAGCAACAAATGAATTAAAAGTAAAAATTCGTGTCATTTTTTTATTGAAAATTCGACGCTCTGCAATATTTTTGAAACTTTTTTCATGCTATTTCCATACAAAACTTTGATTGAATTGTGCTCTATCTAATAGACAATATTAAGAGCTAAAACTTTCAGAGAATTGTTCTTTATCAATTTGGAACCATTTGAGCCCTCGGGAGCAAGAAAATTCGGAAATATCCATATTAAGGACCACCCTAATATATATATATATATATATATATATATATATATATATATATATATATATATAGGGTAGGGCCAATTATATCACAACATGTAACACATATCAAACAAACAAGTATCTGACCATGTTCAATATAACTCCCAGTTTCATCATTGTGGAAATGTTTTTTTTGATGTTTTTTAAAAAATGTCACCTGGTCCTTTTTACCCCAAAAACGTAGTAAAATGGGACGGCCAGGGGCCAAATAATCAAATTTCTTATTTTTCATTTTAAAGGAATTTTACGAAATGATAGCTACTTTATTCAACCAATGCAAAATATGAATTTCATGAGTACATTTTTTACAGAGATAACACTGTATATAACCTTGATCTGGTATTTCGTCAGAATTGAAATAACTTATTTAATTTATCACTTGTAAAACTGCTTTTTTAACTTAATTATTTATTTAATATTTATTTAACTATTTATTTAATATTTTTTATTGTCGACACAATTGCCAGGGTATAAGTTCAGTTGATCCTTTTTACCTCACGCACGTGTGAGCTTTTATAGAGGTTATATAAAAAACTGTTGAATATAACTTGAAAATAACAATACTTATAAGATGTATTCAATTATCAATTAAATAACGTATACTTAAAAATCATATCATTTTTTTGTAAACTAAACAGCAGCGTTCACAATCAAAAAAACTAACTGCGAAAGAAAATATTTTTGTTATGTTTTCAACATTTTCTACAAATAAGGAATTTAGACTTTAAGTCTACCGCACGCATACAAAAATTTTAAGACAAAATTACTATTAATTGCATTTTCAAATGATAAGTTTTAATCAAGAAATTCGCCATAAGTTATTCAAAAATAGCACCATGTTACTTGTATTTATTTGTTCCTGTTACACAAAGCCAGGCAAGCACGTTTTAAATTTCAAAATTTATGTGGTCCTATACAACAGGGACTATGATGTCACAAAAACCAATTGTCGAACTAGTTTTTTCGCTGACTAATAAATTGAAATATTTATTTTCCAAATTAATACATTCGCCAGACGTGTAATGAATACGTAATATGGCTGATATATTTGTCCATTATGTTTGACGTTCAAATAGAGTTATTCGCATGGAATAACTGATTGATATATGGCGAATTTCATTAGTTCACAAGGTCGGTAATAAATATTTAAATCATTCAATGCAAAAGTATTTATTCTTGCACGTGTAAGTGGACAAAACGTGATGAAAATCATTATAGATTTGAATTTATGGAAATATAATCGAGCGTAAGTAGACAGGAGCCGGCAGAAAGCAATGATGAGGTCGAGTCGTAGACGTAGCTACTACGATGCATCTCGTTTTCAATAAGAACTAGTGGTGCATGGCATCGTGCCTTAAAGCAAATTGCTAGTACTTCCTGTACCAAAAATTAGAATTTAAAAAAAAATACAATTATTTTTAGAACTTTGAAAAAAAATAGTTTTTGAGATTTTTAAAATTTTTGAAAAATTAGATTTTTTTTTTACTTTGAAATATTTTGGAAATTTTGAACTTTTTTTCAAAGCAATCGCGATACGTTAGCTGCTTAAAAACGAAATATCGAAGCGCGTGGGTGCCGCGTTGCAGAATAACTAATAAACATTTGTACGGAACCTTTTGTTCTTATTATTGAAACATCTATAAAATATGTGTTAATTTGATGTGCATATGTCAAATGATCATTTTTGTCCGCCAAATGGCATTTTTTAGTGTTTTACCAAAAAAATTCATCACTTATATATTTCGTCTAAAGGTTTTTAGAATAATTTTTTGGGTATATTCATGTTTTTATTTATATCACACCCAATTATTACACACTGTTAATATATAATTATGTTATGATTATATTTTGTTTGACTACATGTCTTGTTTCTCTCAAAAAATTTTTTTGGGATATAAATATCTTCTACCTTTGTTCAAATGAGATGTCCCCGGAGCTTCTAAATTATTTTTTTGTTTAATTCAGCACTTACTAAAAAGCAATGGTTAGTTTTGTAGCTAATGGAGCCAATAAATATTCAAAAATATATAAAGAAAAGTGTGTTACAGGAAGCCAATCAAGTTTCATTAAATAAAAAAATGTGAATAATAATGTTCAGAACCCGAAACTGCACTTGGAATAATTTTTGTTGATTTTAATTTTCATTGTGAGCCGTTTACTGCACTTTACTGATAATTCAAAACGTCCGTGAAATGACGAGATAAATAATGCACATTGAGAATGTAATTGTTCAAGTGATTCTAATTTACGTTTCCAAATAAAATTATTCAAAAATATTAAATTCACAAATACAAAGATATATGTGAATATACTCAATATAGCACTCTTTAGAAATAAATTAATTGCAAATTTAAAATTACTTTGATAATAAAATTATTCATCACTACACAATATTGCACTTAAAAAAATAATTGCAACTTTGAAATTACTTTGATCTGAACAGGTCTTGCCTTATTTATATCAATCAGTTTAATAGTTGATTTAAAATTACTTTGATAATGAAATTATCAAAAACTATTGAAATAAAAAAAACTTAAATATACACAAATTGCACTCCTTAGAAAAAAAATTATAACATATTTAAAATCATTGTGTTCTGATTAATAGTTTTGCCTAATTGATATAGATAAGTTTAATAGTTGATTCTATATTAATACCTATTTGCTTTTATAAAATTTAATAAGCACTATAAATTTAGTAAGCACAATTACACAAAATGCATACATAATTCAAGTTATAACATGAACAACTTTTTAAAAAATTGCTATCAAATTACAAAATTTATACTGCATTTTTGGCGCCAAAACCTGATAAGAAATTATGGTTGAAACCGGAAGAAGCCGTTATGACAACATCTTGTGCCAAAATATGTATTTTGGGTAAAAATAGATTTTGACTGAATACATAAACTGGACTAAAGAAATCGCAAATTCGCAAAATTGTGCAACATTACAAATTATAAATCTGTACAAAAATTAATGTTTTTAACTTCCCGTAGGGTAAGAGTATAGTATGCGCGAAAAAATCGAAAATGAATATTTTTGCATATCTTTACGTTTTAAGACCTACGTGAAGTTAGTTAAGTTAGTTAAGACCTGAAACGTATGTGTGTGCGTGTGCGTTTGTAGTATGTGTGTACGTATGTTTGGATACAATTTTTTGTATCAATACGTACAAATGCAATGTACGTATTTTTAGATACATTTTACTTGTATTGGTGGAATGAAAAATTAAATTTTTGGAAAGGCAGGTCCAGTGGTTTCAAAGATCCGGATAAAGAAGTTTAGAAGGATGCAATTTGGCGGTTAAAAATGATCATTAGAGGTATATACATCAAAATATAAGATATTTTATAGAGCTTTTATTGATAAGTAGTAATTTTGTTTGCATTACTACGAGTTCCGTACCAATATTTATAAGGTTTAACGGACGCGTTTACGCTCTTCGACATTTTGTCTATAAAACAGCTACGCAGCGTGATCGCTTACATAAAAAAACAAAATTTCCAAAAAATTATAATTTTTTTTTCAAAATTTTCAAATAATTTTAATGCTTTTAAAAATTTAAATTCACGTGTACGGGAAGTTCCAGCAATTTGTCTTAAGGCACGATGCCATGCATCGCAAGTTATTAATCATATTATTGTATTTTATAATTATTCATAAAATTAAATTATTTATGATTTGTTGTTAAGAACAAAAAAAACATACATATTTTTTTAGGAAAACTGAATGTTTGCAACTGAATTATTTATCATCTAAATAAAAAATTAAAATTTTACCTCCTTCCCGAATCGCGAATGCGGCCAGGATCAGAATTCCTAAACTTTTTAACTTTCCGTAGGGTAAGAATTATAGTATGCGCAAAAAATCGAAAATGAATATTTTTGCATATCTTTACGTTTTAAGACCTTCTGAACGTTTTGGCTTAGCTTATTATTAGAAACAATTGATGTTTGTGTGTGTGTGTGTGGTATATATGTATGTATGTTTGGATACAATTTTTCGTATCAATACGTACAACAATACAATGTACGTATTTTTAGATACATTTTACTTGTATTGGCGGAATGAAAAATTAAATTTTTGGAAAAGCAGGTCGGTCCAGTGGTTTTGAAGATCGGGATAAAGAAGTTTAGAAAAATGCAATTTGGCGGTCAAAAATGATCATTAGATATATGCACATCAAATTATAAGATATTTTATAGAGCTTTTAATGATAAGTAGTAATTTTATTTACATTTCTATGGGTTCCGTACCAATATTTATAAAGTTTAACAGACACGGATTAATAAATATGCTTACATAAAAAATCAAAATTTACAAAAAATTATAATAATTTTCGTTTTCAAAAATTTCAAATAATTTTAATGCTTGTAAAAATTTTAATTTACGGGTACAGGAAGTTCCATCAATTTGCCTTAAGGTACGATACCATGCACCACTAGTTATTAATTATATTATTATATTTTATAATTATTCATAAAATTAAATTATTTATGATTTGTTATTAAAAACAAAAAAAAACATATTTTTTAGGAAAATAACAATGTTTATAACTGAATAAAAAATCAAAATTTTACCTCCTTCCCGAATCGCGAATACGGCCAGGATCAGAATTCCTAAACTTATAATAGTCCTATTAGGAACAATGGTGTATCGCGTCGTCATGACTAGGTCTAGGACGCTCGTCTTTCGTGCTAAATAGTGTTTGACAACAAAAACACGTGTTTTGTTCAAGACAAGCACCGACACCGACTGCGAACGACTGTTCACGCACTCCGGCACACGTTCACTTCCATACGAATCAGATGATACTGCTCAACAGGCGACGAACCACAATGAGAATGAGCCTCTATCTCGAGCATCGGCTTAGGACCTCTCTGTACTAGGCGGACGGCGCCGGGGCAACAGCTCGAACGCTCTCGGATGATGTATTCGACGACGAAATGGCGAGAGTGGAACATTACGCGTTTCGTCCGAAAAATAAATAATAAAAGCATCGACTTCAGGAAATATTTCGAGAAAAAACGATAGTCTTCGATTACAATCGTAATTAGTGGTGCATGGTATGGCAATTAAGGCAAATTGCTGAAACTTCTCGTACCAAAAATTAAATTTTTAGGAAAGGTTTAAAATGTTTCTATTTTTAAACTTAAAAAAAAACATTTCTGAGAGTTTTGAAAATTTTGCGAAAATTTGATTTTTTTATCAGCGTTATTTGCGTTGAGACAAAATATCGAAACGCGAAAACGCTGCGCCGCAGTCTAACGGATAAACATAGGGACGGAACCCATAGAAAAACAAATAATAAACTTCCCGTACCAAAAATTAAAATTTTTAAGAAAGGTTTAAAGTGTTTTTAAACTTTGAAAAAAAAATAGATTTCTGAGGGTTTTGAAATATTTTGGAAAATTTGATTTTTTTTATCACCGTTATTTGCGTTGAGACAAAATATCGAAACGCGTAAGCGCTGCGCCGCAGTCTAACGGGATAGGACCCATAGAAATATACAAATACAAGCGAATACATATTTTCGTCGACAATTTCGGAAACACGGCTCAACCGATTTGAATGATTCAGAAAATATTCGATTCCAAGGAGACAAAGTTTTTGGCTAAGGCAGGTGCAGCTGTTTCGAAGATACGAGGCAAAAAGTGCCAAAAATGGTAATTCAGTGTTTGAGAGAACGAAAGATCCGATTTCAATAATTCAAAAAACATTTTACTTGTATTGACAAAATAAAGAACCGATTAAATTTTTGGGAAAGTAGGTCTAGCGGTTTCGGAGATGAAATATGCGCCTCAAATTATCAGACCTTTCATAGAGATTTTTATAATAAGTACAAATTTTGTTTACATTTCTATGGGTTCCGTAATAATGTTTATCCGTTAGACTGCGACGCGGCGCTTGCACGCTTTGATATTTTTTTCAAAATATGGAAAAGTCAAAGTTTTTTCTGACTTTTAACAAAACTGATAATTTGACAAAATTATGGGTGATAAAAAAAGTGGCTTAACCGTACCCAGTCTCCCCTACTGTTCAACTCAAATTGAGTATAATCTAATAATTTGTTTTAAAGAAAATACACATTGTGTTAATATGACAGCTTTCCGTATAAATAGGTATACAGTATACATATACAAAACTCCCGTAAAGTGTTAATATATATTATATATTCAAATTTATAATAATTTTCAGCAGTAAATAAAATAAGCATTTAAAATGTAGTATATTGCATTCCATTATAAAAATACATCAAACAAAAGTCATATTCTTGTATCAATTATTCAAAGCATATTGAATTTCTGGAGAAAAATTTTGGCCAAAAGAAGTGCAAATAGGAAATATGTTTTACTTACATTTGGATTATTTCTGCGCCACAAAATCGGACAGCCTGCCAATTGTAAACGTTTGCTTGGCAAACTAAATAGTTCTGTATAACAGTGCTAAATGATGTAAGTTACAACTTTCAGGCAAAATATAGGCGATGGTAGACTTTAGCTTCCTTAGAAAATGCATTCAAAATTTCTGTAAGATGAAGTATGTGCATTAACAAATAATTTTTCACAAAAAAAATGTGTTCAAATACAAGAGTTTGATTTGCCCCTTTTATGGTTAACTTTATTTAAGTACATTGCGCAAAATCTTTTGACGATCTAAAGTAAAATTATATGATTTAATAGTGAGATTGATGAAGTACTATTTTTTATGTTTGAATCCAAATCGATGCGTGTTTAAACCGAGAAACTTACATTCGGAACAATAAAAATTATAAATCAAAATTTAGTTTTACGTTAATTATTTTAGAGTACAACTGTATCTTTTATGATCTAGTGCATCGTTGAAATTCTATTGAAGATACGATGGTTTTCAAATTATTTTGTTTTATCATTTACTTTTATTTAAAACTATCAAAGAGAACCTCATCAAGCTATTTCTTCTGGGATGGGCATGATGATTGAGTTGATTGCCAAAACGCATCCATTAAAATATTATAGATCTATGAGATGCGGTCTAATTAGAAAAATTAATAATAAAAGTTTAGAAAAAAGTAAAGTACGCGGCGGAACCATAATACTATTTTAACTCTTCTCTATAAGAAAACTATTTTTATTATGAAACTAAAAACAGTTGGAAAACTGATAATATTATATAATAATAAATAGTAATTTACTACCGATATTGCCTTGCATATATTTTTAAATATTATTTTGCTAGTAATTTATTGATAGTTTTTTCATTATAAAAATGTTTAGTCTTCGCATTATCGCAATTACGGAGCAGTTAATTTTTTAACAAAATTATTTACAAAATAATAGAACAATAAACAAGAATGTATACATACACACCATACCAGAAAAAACTTAACTAAGCATTTCTAGAAATTCTTGAACGAACATTATTCAAAAAATAAAAATAAACTAAATTATACTTTGTTTAGTAATAATCTGCCATACGTTTTGAGTACCAACTAGACTCATTTTCAGTGGATAAGACACACAAACATTTTAGAAAAACACAAAACTACGTTAAATAAAACAAAATACTTTAAAAGAGATCATGTTGTAGTAAAAAGGAATTAAAAGTATTAAATTTGAAAAAAGTAAATTAAAATTAACATATAAATAATTAAGAAAAAAAATGTATATGACTACCATTCTGCTCGACGCTTGCAGAGAGAATCTATATCTAATAAAGTTACCATTAGTTATTAGCTAATAGCTACCATTTCCACCAAATTTTATATAGTTTATCGGTCCGGCGCCGTTACTATAGTGCTCAAGAGTCCTTATGTTGATGTTAGATATTCCTTGTCGGATACCTGTCCACTGATCCGTGCTTCATCCGACATGCTAAAGATAACTGATATCTGCGTTAACACTATTTGTGCACGCGCCAAAACGATCTCTGGAACATTTTCCTTCTCTAGAACGCCTGTTAAACAGGATTAGATTAATATTATACATGGATTTAAAAATTATATAAAACTTATAAAATATACTTTTTAATCGCGACCGGAAATATTTGTTCTATACATTTCATTATCAAATTGCTCAAAGTTGATGAGCTTAAAAGTAGGGGAGGGATGTGACAAAAAAAAGATATCACGTGCATTTATTTTTTACTTGAATTAAAAAAAAATCCAAAAATTTACAATTTTTTGCGATTTTATCTTTACTAAAGATACACGTGATATTGGGTGGAGAAAACGGAGGGGGTAATTTCAAATATCACCACGTGTCATCAAAGGGAAACAAGAGACCAAAAATCCTTAAAAATTGATCACATAATTAATGGATGCCTCCTTGATTATAATTTTCCTTTCCAAACTTCTGCTTCCATGCTTCCTAGCCCTGTAATTCAGTTCTTTAATTCCCTGTATTGCCTCCTCCTCTCGGCGTAAGTAATCAATCATCTGAATTCTTCTTCTTCCTAATCCTTTCAGTCCTTCTATTTCATCTCCATCGACGCCGTGCAGCTGGTACTCTTTGCAATATGGGTCCGAACCAGTTTCCTTTCCATTCAATGACTGCACTCACAATCAGTAAAGTCAACTTTCTCCAGATTTTCTTCATTTATTGTTAGTTATAAATTAAAACCAAAAATATGATGTATGGATTTATTCACTTTAGAGTTTGATACATGATTTAAGTTTTGTGTAGTAAGAATATAAATTTTTATACTCTCGTGTATAAGCAAAAATATAGTTCTATTTTTATTTTGTATGTATTATTTCTAGCTATAGATAATTGAGCTATTGTAATCATTTTATTGATGTTTCCTCAAGATGATAAGGCTCAAGCATAAAATTAGATTTAGATTTTCAATGAGGTAGATCCATAAATTTAACACATTTCAAACTATAAAACCATGTCTATATAAATTTGATATCAACATTAAGGCTTAATTATCTAAATAGTTTTGTACTAAAAGGAATTTAATTATCATAAGAAAGTTGTACTTTTACATGAAGTGAGAAAACATTAATGAGGGAAATCACGACATATCATAGTATATGTTTAAGTATAAAATACATTGGACATGCAGAAATTCTATCAAGTAATTGAAAAATGAAAGACCGATTCACATGCTTTTAGTCTTTCATATACATTGAGTTTTACCGATTATTTACAATACATATTCATAAAAAAAGAAGAAAGAAACAACCAGATATTTTTTGAATTTGCAACAGTGATACACAACTACACAAAATCTGTGTAATGTAAATATTAAAAATGAGCTGAATTTAAAATAAAAATTATTATATATTTCGTAAATGAATGTTCATATAAGAAACTAGCTTAAGCACATACTTTGATTATATACAACCACATTATTTATCAAAAATCAATGGATTGAAACTAGTGCAATATTTACAAGAACAATATTTCAACATTGCTAAATATAACTTTTATAAATACTATAAATTTTTAATACATATTCATATATCATTAATAAAATAGAACTTTTGGATTTACCATTTATATTGACTATATTCAAACACTAAAGCAACTTATTGAACCTATTTGCAATATAAAAAATTGATCACATTTAATGTGACTCTAATTAGGCCTAAGTATTTAAATTTTATATATACACATAAAGCACACAACATACAGAAATATATACATAAAACCCATTCATGCATATATATATATATATATACATACATACATATATATATATATACATACATACATACATACATATTTTATATATATATATATATATATATATATATATATATATATATATATATATACATATGCAATTATATTTTAGTTACATACATTCACATACAAATCTTAATGACCCAACTACCTAGTGTTCCACAACAAAATTGGATCACAAAAACTAATCCACACCAAAGTAAGAAATTACCATTATTCATTAAAACCTCTTGATATATTCATGTTAAGTATTTCGAAATGTCTAAAAATATATTAGGTTTTAAATACACTATTAAATAGCATTTTCTATGCAAGTACTTTAAATTAAGGATCCAAAGGACCTGAATTATATAAATACAAAAACAACTAAGTACAAAAAAATCAGAGAATACTGTATAACTTCATATACAATTATTGAAAATTGTGTGACCTGATACTAAATATTTAGAGTATGAAATAACTATGTTATTCACTACCATAATACCACCTGGGTATAAAACTTCCTATTATTTGCCTTCATGAAATCATATTTTCCTATAAAATTATATCCAAACTATAATTCAATATCATAATCTCTTCCAGTAGTGTCAGAATAGAAAATATTTACTGTACCTGCATATTATTTCATATAGTAGGATAATATCCAAAATATCTTGTGCATATGCACAAGGAATGCTATACAGCACTCAATGTTAAACGTGATTTCTAAATAGTATCAGCTGTTACAGTAGATATTTATATCATCTATCTAGAAGCCATTATTAAATATTATTATGTAATTTATCTTTAGCACGCCTTCGGGCAAGTTCTGACAGAACCACAGGTCCCAAATTAGCTGCTTGTGGTGAATTAGCAATTGCCCTGTATGTAGCATCAACAGCATTTCTTATTGCCGAAGCATCCAATCTTGGAGTATTCGGAGAGCTGGGTACAACATTAGATTTTGTTTGGGGCTTACTCGGAGATAACCAAGGATGTAATAGTACTTGAGAAGCTGTAGGCCTTCTTGTTGGATTTATATGTAGCATTTGTCCTAGCAAGCTCTTTGCTTCTGCACTTATGCTTGTCCAAACCTTATAAAATTATATAATTCTTCATGATTCAGAAAATCAGGGTGGATGAAAAATCAAATTAATTCAATGTAATAGGATGAATATCAATGCCAAATGTCCTAAATGCAATACATTCACGAGTCTGATGTAATATGTCAATGATTTAAAAATTATATAAAAATTACATATGAAAAATAAAACTTAATTACCCCAGTTTCCAGATTAACTTGGCCGGAACCAATCCTGGCAAGAATGGCTTCAGGTTTATCATTTTCCCCACTGGCAAATGGAGTTTGACCAGCTAACATGATATAAAGTAGAACACCCAAAGACCAAATATCACATGCTGCATCATATCCTTGCTTTTTTAATACTTCTGGTGCAACAAAATTAGCAGTGTAACAAGGAGTCATTAATAGGCCATTATCAGCTCTTAATTGTTTAGCAAAACCCAAGTCACAAATTTTTAGGCTTTCTGGGTTACAATCCACAGTAGCATATAATAAATTAGAAGGCTTAAGATCTCTAAAACATGAAAAATAAACTGTAATAACTTGTAATATATTGTATACATATTGTATTAAAAAAAAAATGCTTGAAGTAACCTGTGAACAACTCCATGCATGTGAAGATATGAAACCGCAGCTCCAACAGTTTTCATTATGGCCCAAGCTTCATTCTCTGAAAGCTTTCCTAAAGCTAAAATTCTATCGAGAAGTTCACCACCACTGTAAATGATTATATATTTATGCTACAGGTTTGTATACAGATTTGAACAGTATACAAATTTATATTTCTAACATTTAAAAGATTATACTCTCATGTAACTAACTAAAAATCAAAGACTCAACATCATCAAAACTCAACTATCTATCAATTATCTCACCGTAGAAGTTCAGTTACTAAATACATATTTGATCCATCTTCATGAACATCATACAGAGTTACAATTCCTGGGTGCTGACCATAGCGTAACAAAATTTCTACTTCTTCTCGGCAGTCATGTGAGGATTTATCTATAATCTAAGTAATATGCAAAATCATTATAAATAGTTGCAAGTTATGTATCATAGAAGTATTAAAAATCCATAATTGTGAAAGCATAATAAAATTAAGTTTTAAAATATTGAATACTTGTATATGGAATTCAATCATATCTCATTATTTCAGTAGTAAATAATTTTATCTTAAAAAAAAATAATAATAATGTTAAAAGACGAGTTGGTTCTGAATTATGGACGAAGCACAATTTATACCACAAACTACACATATAGTATTGTTACTCTAATTATTACACCAGTACTATTTACTATATACTACTAAAACTATTTTCTATTGTTTAAATAATTTCACAAACTTTTTTAATACATACTTTTACTGCATACTGTTTTTTAGTAGCTTTATGTTCACATAAACGACACACAGAAAATGTCCCTCTACCTAGAATACCCATTAGTTCATATTCATCAGAAAAGGCACAAGGCTTATTCACTAATGGAGGTTTGGAAACTTCTGTTGAATTATTTACTTGTTGATTTCTAGTCCTATCTTCTTCAAGCAAACATGGTGCTACAAAACTGAATCCCCTAAATAATTCGTGAGCATTTGCAGAAGCAGGTATTCCAGGAGAATCTCTGAAAGGATAATGTGTCACAATTTTTATATTAAATACCGTAAATGTGGACAAATTTTTTTTATGAGATTTTTTAACATAATGAATATTTTTTCTTGATTCAGATCTATTTAAGACTAACACTAACTTTGGAGTTTTACTTGTGTATTCTGTATCAAAATAGAAAGCATCTTCAGCTCGGGATACAGCTGGTCTAAACGGTGGTGGTATTTGTTTATGAAGTAATGCATCCCAGTCAACAGTTGCAAAGAATTCATGCCTCTTCAAGTCTTCTACGCCATCTGGACCAGCAGCTAATCTTTATGAATAAATATCATATTAACAATATGAGCATAAACGAATATTGATATTACATTTGAGGAAAAATGTGTTTCTACAATTAAATTTAGAGTGTAATTACATATAACAAAATTGTTACTTGTCATAATCATTAATAATATATTAAAATAGGAATCAAAAAATTAAAATTTGCATTATTATACCTATTTTGAGGATTTCTCTTAAACAAGGCTCTTAATAATGACTGAGCTTCAGGTGTTAAATTACTTGGCATTCCGAGTTTTGCTTTAAGAATTCTCGTCATAGTTTCCTGGCTTGTATTACCATGAAAAGGTAAATTTCCAGTGAGCATTTCAAACTAAGTGAGGATGCAGCATGTTAATTCATTTATCTCCAACTTAATTACACTGAATTTTGTTCATTTCTATCCTGTCATAGTATCTTACCATCAGAACACCAAACGACCACCAATCAGCAGCAAACGAATGTCCTTTCCTATTAACTACCTCAGGAGCCATATATTCTACAGTACCACAAAAGCTATAAGTCTTGTCCTCTGCTAAAGGAAGCTTTGATAGGCCAAAATCAGTCAAGGCAATGTGACCATCTTGATCTAATAAAATATTTTCAGGTTTTAAATCTCTATATATAATTCCCAAACTATGTAAATGACTCAGCGCCAAAGCTAATTCAGCAAGATAAAATTTTACATCTTCTTCTGTAAACATCACCTGTGTAAAAATAAAAGAGTTAACATTAAGTCAAAACTTTGTATTGTACCATTTGAAAAACAACTAAACTAAAACTTACTTCCTTGCTTAACCTAGTAAATAAATCTCCTCCCCTCAAAAAATCTAGAATTAAATACAATTTTCCTGCAGTTTGGAACGCATAGTGCAATTTGACTATGAAGGCATGTTCAACATCAACTAGAATATTTCGTTCCATTTTAGTCCGAACCCTATCTCGGACCTTCAATGTTGCTTTTTTAACAACCTAAAATATTAAATTTAATATTAATAAAATTAATAAACACTTTAATACCTAAATTTATACTTGGACTAAAATATTTAAATGTTTTGTTATTATTTTTGGACTAAAAAAATAATAATAGCTAATTATTATATTACTATTATTCATCTTTCATTTTTTTTCTAGTAATTTATATTTAGGTTGTTCAATTATGTAATATATTTATATACAAAATTTAAATATTCCGTAAAATAATCTTTTTAATTATATATTGATATACTTTGTATATATTATATATATATATATATATATTATATATAAAAAAAGTATATTATTAATTTTCCGGTTATTTAATTATATATAAACTATTTAATTACCAATAAATCACAAATTTACAACAACTAATTGAGTTCACAATTAAATGTAAAATATACCTTCATAGCATACAGAGTTCCGGCATCCGATCCAACTACTTTACGAACAAGAAAAACTTTTCCAAAAGACCCTTCCCCAAGAACTTTAAGCAGTTCAAACTGCGAAGGTTCGGCTTTGTCATGGCCTTCTTTTACTAAATATTTGACATCAATTTCATGTTCATCTTCTTTAGCATTTTCATTAGAAGCAACTGGTTCTATAGGCTCATCGATAACCATAGATAAATCCTCTTGTGATATGCACTAAAATCAAATTAATTATCAAAATTTATACACTTTCAATTTTGAACTTTATTCTGAAGGTAATGGAAATCCAAATTTGTTGTTCAAGGATTTATTAAATATATATATATATATATTATATATATATATATATATATATATATATGTATATATATATATATAAATTGTTATGCTTTCTTTTAGAAGCATTCATTCAATATGTGCTACAACATTCCAAATTCGTAGAAGCATTCTGCATTACTGTGATTTACAAAACCTTCAAAATATTATGTGTTAGTTGAATATATAAAATCAAATTTTATTCTACATATTATATTATTTACAGCTCATTACGCTTCAGCCAATTGGAGTTGAATTATCACAAAAATTACATATGTAATTTGTTTATATTTCTATTGATGTACCCCAAAACGGCATGCACAGAAAAATCACTAAATTAGTTTAAAAGTATATAAGTCAAATTTAATGCTCAAGAAATTATCAATAAACCAGGTTTGCAACATGCCTCCAATTCACAAACTTTATATTGCTTCTATTTATATTCAAAGAACACAAGTGTTAACCACACGAAAAAATCGATATCTTTCGCTTTGATCATAAAAAAATTAACACCCAAATATGTACAATTATTATTGTGTGATATAAATGTACATAAGTAAATACGACCTGAAAAATAACATGAAAGTTAGTTTAATGTCTAACTACACCAGAATTTTTATTAACCCTCTACGGAATCACAATATATTTATGTTCTAACGCAATATAAATAATTATACAACAAAAACTAAGTTTATTTACATGATCCCCATATTTAAACACGACTTTTTAAACTGAAAATAGGTTCCATTATAATTTATACTTTTAACCTGTAATTTTACATCATCATTCACATAATACTCCGAGTTTATATAAAAATGATTATCAAAATTATTAAAATAAATATTGATAAATGATCGTTAAAGATTGTCAGATTATAGGAGACTGATAATACAGTAGATTTTAGCATATCAGAATTTTATTAAATTCCAATATGAGATAAAATGTCCATTCAGTATAGATAATATGAATGTTCTATATCAAAACTAGTGACAGTCATACGAGTTGAAGTGACACATAAATTTTAATTTAGCAGGATAACATTACATACATGTCAAGGTTTCACCATATTAATATATATTGTATATTTATCGTATCATACAAAATAGTACACAATCTTCTATATTATTAGATCTGATTCAATTTGTAATTGTTGATTTTTAATCGCAATTTTATTGTAACTAGTAAAAACGTTTAGGTTCACGGATAGTGAATGTGAATTATGTATGTTACAAACTGGGATACAATAATTAGAAGTACATAAGTATTAGATGCTACACGCATGCACTAAGGTGCACTGTTGTTGGAAATACGTGTAAATACTTCTTTTATGCATTAAATACCAATGTGAAAAGCCAATTAAAAAATTGCTAATGTTTAAATTACATACGTCACTTTTCTTCACGCTTGTTAAGGATCTAGAAATGGCGTGAGCTGTAAAAATTGTAAATTCATTAATATTAGCTATAAATCACTTTACAGCTAATATAAACAAAAGATAAATAGATTGCGAAACCAAAATGAGATACAGTTACCTCGTTCCCTATGTTTTGAATACGCCATGGGTCTGCCGAATTAGCTAGCGGCATTATTTGTTTCTAAATTTTGTTTATGTTAATGTCAAATGCTTCGTCACTTGTTGATACTATTTGGAACACAGCAAAAAAAATCAATTAAAAATGCTTATCAATTTGAATACCATAGATAAGGAACTGTCAAAATTGATTAGAGCACAGAGAATGTAGGGCAGGAAACTCGAAGAGGCGATCACTTCACGCTTGTTTATGGCATCACAATTAAATCGGCACCAACAAATTTTGCGCGAAATTTGAAAATAAAAATTGTGCGCGGGATTTAAAACATATATCACTATTACACTAGTAACTAGTTGAAAGTGGCATTTAGCTTTAAGGCAAGTTGCATGAACTTCCCGAAATGTGTAAGAATTGGCTCAATTAATCAAAATTAATTTATTTAGATATTTTATTTATTTCAAAAATAAAGTTAACACTTTCAATCAAATTTAAACATTGCGATTTCGAATAAAATTTTCTCAAACAAATTTAAATTAACTGTAATTATATTTATTATATATTTTTATTATTTTAATTTATATATATATATATATATATATATATATATATTTAATTAAAATAAAATGTGTGGAAGAATAATAATTATTCAGAATAATTAATTAATAATACAACTTTAGAACTATTTGGCTCATGTTTAGCACAAATACAGACAATAACCATTACCTAAGTTTATCACAGTATTAAGTTTCACACTTCTAAAAATGAAATCCATTTTTTGGAAAAAAGAATAAACTAAACTTGTTTTATAAATATATAATTGAATAAAGTAAAAAAAATATTTGAATTAATTAAAAAAAAAGTTAAAAAAATTGATAATGTTTGACTCATTACATCACAAAAGCAACAAGACACAAATTTTGACTATGATATTTTTTCAACCTTTGATGAATTTTTAACAATAAACTATTTGTCGTAGGTCCGTAATATTTTAGTATATTTTATAAGACCATGATATCTATTGCCAGAAAAAGAATCATAAAAAAATATTTTTCAACAGTCAATTTAAAAAAAAGCCCGGCCCGATAGATTTTTGCCTAAAACTATTCAGTATCATTCTCAACCAATATCTTTCGAACAGTTTTTGATTTTTTAAAATCGATTCAGAATTTAGAGCTAAAACGTGAACAAAATTTTTTTATTTGCTATTTGCAAAGAAACGGCTCAGCCTATAGTCGCACAAAACTGAGAAAAAATAATCCACATCGAAATACATCGATTGGCTTTTAAATTTCTGAAATCGGTTCTGATTCTGAAACATTTTTACCATCACAATAAAAAAAACAATGTATATACTGATATTCATGCCCCGGTACCTCTAGTAATTACTTTTAACGTGATATTTTAAGCAAACATCATTTTTATCAAGAACAAAAAATCGATATGACCGAGCATTATTCATATAACATATGTACATATAAAACCATATGTACAATCCGAATAGCTTCCTAACAATTTAATTATAGAATCGTAAACATAATTGCTTATAAATAACATCAATAACTAGTGGGATGCATGGCATCGTGCCTTAAGGCGAATTGCTGGAACTTCCCGTACCGTAATTAAAAATTTTGGTACGGAACCCAAAAAAATTACACAAAATGTATACACATTATTAATATCTTTACAAAATATCTGATTATTTGATGTACATATGTCCAATTGACATTTTTGACCGCCAAATGGCATTTTTTTACTTATTTTTATTGAGAGTCCATAACAGCTGGACCTGCCTTCCCAAACATTTAATCAGTTCTTCATCTTGTCAATATAAGTAAAATGTTTTTTGAATTACTAAAATCGGACCATTCACTTAAAAACTGAGTTATCGTTTTTGGCAATTTTTGCCCCGTATCTTCGGAACGGCTAGACCTGCCTTCGCGAAAACCTAATCAGCACGTCTCCTTATCAATACGAATCGAATGTTTGAATTATTCAAATCGGTTGATCGGTGTTCCCGAAATCGTCGACAAAAATTTGTATCCGCACACACACACACATACACACACACATACATCAATTTATTCTGAGGTATGCCAAAATATTCAGAAACCTTTGAAACGTAAAGATATATAAAAATTTTCATTTTTTATTTTTTTGCGATTACTATAACTTACTACTATCCTACGGGAAGTTAAAAATAATGAAGTAGCACAAATTTGACTCCTGAGTCTGCCTGAACCATTAGAATCCTATAATAAGATATAAACGTTTTCTAAGAATAAAATATGAAAGGATAATCTAATACATTTATTAACAGTTCTTTGCATTACACACATGTTAACACACACATATATGTTATATTTACAAGAGATGTAAATGTACATGTATGTATGTGCGAATATATATAATACATAAATTTTTAAAATTTCCAACAAATCTTAAATAAAATATATTTATATAGAACTGACATTCGTTCTAAAGTATTTGCATAAGACTTTAATATCACTATCGAATATGCATTTATACATAGCTATTTACTATATGATTAACTACCTAATAATTTGGATACTTATTTTCAGATGTTGAAATATTTTGATAAAGTTTATCCTGAGTGCTAGTAATTATATTCATCTCGTGAAAATAAAATTGATGATAAGGTATAAATGGTTAAACAAACCTAGTTACTCATTCGGATTAAATTTTTTAGAATCAAGACACTCAAATTATGGCGGAGTAGTGGAAATTATAATATGTGAAAAAGTTTTAACCGAATTATCATTAATTTAATAAATCAACATGAAAATATGCTAAATAATTAAATTTTTGATGGAAATGAATATGAAAGCACATCAAGATGGTCATATCCCATTGTTTAACTCTGCATAAGCGTTTTGGATCATCATTTTCACAACTCCGTTTTCTTAACATACATGTATATGTATATAAAATATCTAATTGTAACTTTATTTAAATCATATAATTTTATCCCAACAAAAAAATCGAAATAATCCAAATATGGACTTCTTACACAGTTTGTTCAATATATTGAAAGTTTTACAACTAATATTTTAATGAACAATATATGTAGTCGTGGTTTCAATAAATTATGTTAATAACGTATCAAGTATAAGTATTGGCAGTAATATAGCAAAACGCGACCAAAATTTTTTATACAAAATCCATATTTGGTTTGGTTATTTTTTTGCTGCCTATTATGAGATTTCTATTTTAATCTATGAACAACATTATAGAGACGGCTTACTATAACAAATATTGAATTCAATATAATATAAATATCGAGGCCAATAAAATATTCTATGAAAATATTTATTAAACAAACTATTCGTAATACATCCTATACAGGAACCCATTGTGAGCGAGATGTTAAATTCTTTTAGGTACAAGTGAACATTATCTATAAGTGAAAGTATTCCGTCAGATAGAAATATTTATATAATATAATATATTTACATAGATATTTGTTTATATTTATAAAAAATAAATATTTCATGAAAGATTTTCAAATGCATTTGAACTTTATTTAATACCTGTGAAATTATGTTTGGCATAAGTAGATTCTGACCAATTTTTAACAAAAATGTCCAGTAGATTGGAAAAATATTGAGAAAAAAGTATTGAATAAATATATATGACATTAAATTATTAACTCATATAGAATCACTCCAATCAGTGGTTTAAATTTAATGCATAAATTTTTAAAAAATATTATTCCAAAAATTAAAATGTTAATACAGGAGGCTGATACATTTTACTGCAAAATTTTATCAAACATTTGTTATTATATTAAATAGTTCCTGTTCATATTATAATATCGTAGAGAAAAATTTAATAGTAAGAATAAAGAAAACGGTATCATCCGAAAATTAGCATCAAAAAATCTGAAAATGAGTATTTTTTATGATTTTATTATTCACACAGATTAATCTTTTAGATATTTTTCATATCGTGGTACTTTAGCTAACTAAAAATGTTAACTTATTTTTAAATACTAAAATACTGATAGATACAAATAAATAATTCGTGACTAGTTTACCACATTCAATACATAAATAGGGTAAGGTTGCTTAACTCGTACCTCCTAAGGAAATATGACTGTAATGCTTACTTCAATTAAATTAGAACATAATATTTATATATACTGAATTTCTATTTAGTTGGCTTATGATTAACAATTACTGAAAATTATTTTTTTTATTTTAGAATATGTATTTTTACGTTTTTCAAATACGTGTTTTCGGTACCACGCGCCTAGTCGCCTTAGTCGTACCACTTATATCCTTAGTGGTTCATTATTATTAAGGAACTATATAAAATTCAGTCTGAGATCTGCTTTTCGATAGTTATCAGTTATCAAGTCAAATACAATTATTAAAATAAACACCTAAAAAAAATAATAATCTCAAAATGTAAGGAAATTAGATACTTATAAAATTAGCTATCATTGGTTACACCCGCTTTATGTTTTTCCTTTTGAGCAAAACATTTGAAATATTGTATTTATACATTATTTTTAAAAACTCTATAACATAGGGGGAAATCCCGTAACGCCGGACGGCACCAAGCACCGGACACTCTATTTAACACGTATTATTTAAGAGAGTATAAATCTTTTCATTTCAAAATACAAGTGAAAGGGGCAATTAATTAATTTTACTCTGTATGAGTGCTAACGGCCACTACATACCCCCATTGTTCGTGTTTCCCAGTCGAAGAATAAAAAGCTTATGATAAATGCACCAGCTAAGAGCATCGGTGTGGCTCAGCCAAAAGGGTAGATAAATAGTGACTTTTTTTGCAATATCTAATAATATTTGTCAAAGACACATGTGCAGACATTCCAGAGCGTGGAGATGGCTACATATGTGATCAATGCAGGTTATTTTGAAATGTCCGGTACTAGGTGCCACTGTTTAAAATCATATTTTTTGATAGCAAAGTTTGATTGATAGTATTAATTATTTTTAACAAAGATTGCGGTTTTGTTATTTTAGTTTGAATTCTAACTTTGTTATCTAACATAAATCATAATTTAATAAACATTTCCTAAAATATTTTTTTATTAATTTATATATAACCTTAGGTGTCCGCCACTTGGGAACTTCCCCCTACTATTTTTAAGTCGGTACGTGGAAGAATTGGT